ATTCGATTCCATAATCGTTGACCGAAGCTACTTTCATTCACCCATCTGTTAAGCATAAGTAGCTTACAACTTACCGGCGCCTTCTCCCCACCCTTCTTCCCATCCCTTAGCTAACCGGCTTGTACGCTAAGCCAGTCCGCCCCGAATCGTCGAGTGGGATTTGCCACGCCAGTGATCGAAGGCGTGGGAGCTTCTGTTGATCGAGGCTGTAGGCGGATGGTCAGGTGCGGTACCCGATAACTGCTGTTTGGCCGGACTGCTCCGAGTTCTGCCTCCTTCTGGAGGCCCACAGACTTGACCTGCATGCGATATACACCATCGGGACCGGTCTGGTCCGTAAATTCGATAACGAGGCGCCCGCGCGCTCCTAATCGGCTCGAGCCCGTTTGACTAATAGGAAGGAATCCAACTATCAATATCAGAACTAGGACTCGGTTTAGTCCAATGAGCTAGTTATGTTGTGAATCAATATCAGCGTCTACTCCTACATTTTGCTTTCGTGTCGAATCAACTACCTTGTAAGTGTTCCTTGCGGGACAGTCTGGCTTTGAGGCTGCGTGGGCTGGCTTAATACGAACGGGGGCTTGCTCCGACCTTTTGATTTCATACTGTATGCTGTGTCCGAAGTCTCACGGTAATCACCTACTACTCCCAACCCGCGCCAATCCAGATTTGACCTGGACTGGTTGGGTTGGTAACTTAATCAAGAAGTTGCAAATAGGTCCCTATAATATCAACTTATATATAGCATTATGTTTCATTATTGTTATATTGGTACTACAGTGTAGACGTCCAGTCAGTTCCAAGTCTACCTAGGCAACAATTAATAGTCTCTCTAAGAACTACAGTCAGAGGCAGTCACAGTGCCTTAGCAAATACGCCACGTGCGTTAAATTACTGCAGCCGTTGGCCACGCGAGTTGTGAGACTATGCTCTTCCGAAACGGGTCTACGTTGAAGAATTGAAATGTAAAGAACTGCATAATATAGTGTACAAGTCAACGTTGGTATCCCCCATAGAGTTTAGCCTTGTGGCGAGGTGAAAGTCAAGACAGATAGATACAAGTGACTAACACGGTATAATAATTAAATCACTCACATATAAACGCTGCCGCCCCAAAATTTAGCTAATGCCAACTCTAGAACGACCGAGTTTAAAGAGAGTGAGAGTGGGTGTAGGAGAATAGCAACATCTTAGCCCTAAATTACAACATACGTTGGATCTATACGTAAAATGTATGACTAACATTTACTTGCCATAGACGCATCGTTTGCTATTTATTACCAATTCAACGATAGGTAGCCAATGCGGCGTGCGTGCGGCAAGGGATAATCTAGATTCAATGTGCAGTAGTAGGCTGCAAGGACCCTAGAAAATATCCATATATACATTAGAAAGCTATGGTAGACCTGCAAGGGGCTGCATGTAACATCAACATGAACAGAAAACATATTAGTCGGAGCAGCCCGTTTATAACTCTACCGGCAGTCACATTTCGACATTTGCTATAGTGAAAACTTGCAAGATGATTTTGATCGCAAGTAATACCTTTAATGATTAATGTGTTCTCTATATTGATACTCTCGTATATAGTACGAAATGGTATTAGGGATGACGTCTCAAGCCGCGGAGGGACTTGAACGGAATACATACATAGTACTAGTAGGGTGCTTTCTTGGTCAATATAAGGGAATGCGATAAGAGTCCAGGTAGGTAGTTGGAAATCGACTTGTAAATATTTAATCAAGTATTCGTACATGTTCAGTAAAGATGCTAAATCATCCTTTTGAAGTGATCGATTGTCGTAAACTCCTAGTACCACGATATTAAAAGTGATAGTATGGAAATGCGTGCTTTAGGTACCGAGTAACCGTTATAATCTATAATCTCATCATCTCACATTGTAGAGCGTGGCATCTTGCTTGAATTAACTGAGGCAAGAGATATCATATCCTATACGGACTCTTAGGCAACCTTCTTTCAGCTTCAGTAGCACTTACTCCTTAGACAGAGACCTAGTAAATTTCGAAGACTGCTTAAACTAGAAATATCATATATTCAGACGGGATATTTTAATAGTGCTTTGTCAATTATTTCCGAATAATGGAATTATGTCATAACCCTACCGTATTAATCAGTTGTACATCAGGTCACTCACTGGGTGAGCTCCGATATAATGCTCGAAATTGTCGTGGCTACAGGATAATATTTTCAGTCGCTATTTTCTCAGGGGATTGACCTATAGCTCAACCCTATCACTAGTACTCTCTTTGTATATGTTCGATAAATTCGTCGTAGCCGAGAAGTTTCTTCGATATGGATCCGTGGGTGCCTCTCTGTAAAAGTCCGAACAAAACGGGGAGGAGGCCCATGAAACCACCGTTCCCTAGCAACGTGTAGGAGTCGTCTAGGCTAGCATGTATGAGATATGCGGACTTCCTCAGACTGTCCTCACATGCACACAGTGTGCTATTGTGGGTTTCCTAGTTTCAGTCAGCCATTTCGGATCACAAGGTCCACTGGCTCCTGGCGGCATCCCGCCCATGCTCATACGGCAAGGCCGGGCGGCAAGATATAACATATTGCTCAGAACATATAGCTAGATTTGCTGATTCTAGCCTGACTAAGAACGCGGGATATTTTCTAGGGGGCCTGTAGATAGCTGGAAAGGGCCGGCTTAAAGATGTCGATGTGGGATGGACTAGGTCGGAATCCAGAAGCTGGGACTGTTTCGGACTATTTAATTCGCATATGGCAAGGTTATGTAACGTTTTCTCTGTCGTATTCCTTTTCTTACGTTATTGTCGCGCGAGAATCCCGAAGACGGCTTGTTGGTGGTGTCATTAACGCTTCGAGAGCGAGAACACTCCTTTTGTTGGAGGTAACAAAAAGATTTTTTTAATTTTATATTGATCGAAATTATCCTATTTGTGAGAAGAGAGAGATAGATGATGGAGGAAGGATGAGGAAATTGTTAGGGTTTAAGAGTTCATGGCGCTGGCCATCAAGGTTCTACATTTACCCCTTGGAAATCTACCCAAGATGGTACACCACAGCTTATTGCCGCAAAATTAGGACAAAGACCGAGGCAGAGCTGTGGAAGGTCACATCTAGTTAGTCCAGCTCAGAATACGCAGATTAACATGTCAAGGCGTACGGCTAACTTGTCGATGTCGCTCAAATACAGGTCGCTTGTCAAGATATCAAACCACTCTATATGTCCGTAATCGTGTCCACATTATCCACAGCTGTATGAAGACATAATAGCACAATATATTAGAAATAACAATGACCAATCGCTTGAAATTCCCCCACGTATTACGTATAGAATGAAGGGCCTTAGCCCCTTGGACTATAGTGATGCAGTCACCAGATCCAAACAGGTTAGTCCTAACCCACACTGGTTCATATCATTAGAGATAGCAATCAGGTGGAATATCTTAGAATTAGAAAGAAGTTGGTTGAACTTGCCTAGGTTATTGCTCGCCCACGGGGGTTGGGCTGAAAAGAAATACCAACTTTGTGACCAAAGAAAGTGTTTCTTGTCATTAAGTTCATTGGTTGGAGGTCTCTTTTCGCTACTGTAGGTTCTTTACCCTTGCTAGGGAGGTTACTGCAAGTTATAGCTTCGGAGCCAACTCTGGGAGCGGCTTATTGTGGACGTGTAGTTGCGGGTCTCGGGATTGGGGTGACATCAAGTGTTACTCCCGTGTTTGCTGCCGAGAGGGTCCCGAGAGGCTTCCGTGGCATAATGGCGAGTTCAGGAGTTATATGATATGCGGTTGGGATATAACCCAAATGTGCTTCTACCCGAACCTCCCCGCTGGCTACCAAGACACGCCTGCTGTTGGTATCTTCACAATCAATCATGCTCTACCTGAGGTCACCAGAATAAGCCCGTAAACCTGACCACTCTTTAAACGTTATCTCAGCAAGCTTATACCATAATATTCGAGATTTCATGCGAATTGGGGTCTGAGAACGCCATGGGGTTGATAGGGGTGTGAGGCTCAAGTCCAAAGATGTGATGTACACTCCCTCATAACTTTACAAAAAGCTATGGAAGATTAAAGCTAAAGATACTCGGAGGTAGAGAATTGTTTATTTTAATTCCGAGCGCTTTTTGAATTACATTATAGGCTTTTCCCGTAAAGTTATTAAGGAGTTTATATCACATCTTTTGACTTGTACGTCCTTACCCCAGACCACAATTCGCATGAAATCTCGAATACTGTGGTCTGAGCTTGCTGAGATAACCCCCGGTATAATAATCAATAAAATATACAAGTCTTGATAAATAAATTCAAATTAAAATATAACTTTTATTAATAACCGTTTATTTGTCAAAGCTCTCGAGACTGTGATTTGTTAATACGGGCGCTGCGTTAACACCCGTCCTTGTCCAGTGTCCACGGCTCGGTGACTGGACGCTCAAGTCCCAAAATCATCCTTACCTATTCCGCGACTTTGTCTTCCACTCTGCAGGGCGCCGTGCAGCGCCCTGCTTCTGCTTCTGCTTCTTTTAATGTCAGCTGCTCCACGGGTCCCTCCACGGCTTCATCATCGCCTTGGCGTCTCCGCTTCTTGGTATTCCTGGCTGGCTTGGCTGAAGATGTCTCTGGATGTTCCGCAGTAGAGCCCATTGTACTATGACGCGCTGGCGTGCTTCGTCGGCCTTTGCGTTCTGATACAACTCTTGCTGCTGCATATATTGGGCAATGGTCCTATTGCGTGCGACTCGTGATGGCTCAGTCTCGTTCTGATATGGGGCTTCAGGACTGAATAAGTCTATATCCTCTGCTATCTCGCCATCTTTTAGGATCCCGGACTGTACGGGCTCTTTCCGCGTTGCATCGCGTCGCTTCTGATAAAGCTGCACAGCCTTGGTATACCTGTCGAACAACCAGCATTCAAATTCTATATATTCAATCCACGTTACTGGCTTGCTTTGCTGCTTAGGGTCTTTAACATTTTGGTCTACAAAGAAGTTTGCATAACAATTTATTTAATATGTCATACCCATCCCTTTAATTGGAGGATAGTAGCTTCAAAAGATTCTATAAACTTCTGTTTAGACCAGTTGGGTTAGCTTGGTATTTGGTATAGCATTAACTACAGCATGTTGTTTTTCACGCCGCGGCCACTTCGTGTTCTTGAACGCGTCGTAACAGGTCTTTCAGTGCCGGCATTGGCTTCCCCTCGGCTGCGCCATAAGAAATACAAACTTGCAAATGTTCCCGACCCTGGGCCTTTAGCTTCTCGCCATGATGGAAGCGATTGAACGCTTGTAAGTCGAACGGAATCATGTGTTTCTCCCACGCCGCCAGGGAAGCGGCAAGTCCAGCTTCAGTCGTCGTTCTAGCAACCTGCTTACCCAGCTCCCCATGGATGTCGAGCTCCTGGATTTCCCTCACTGATGCTACTACAAGACTCCATAGTTCCTCTCCATCGATATCTCTAAACTTCGGCCAGTCCATCAATTCGCATGCCGCAAAGACGGGAAACAAGGGATTTATGGAAACGGCGGATTCTAGTACAGGCTTGACGGCGCAGCGTGAAATCCCGCTAGCATTGTAGATCTCTGCAAACCCATTTGCAACGGCAGGTGAGCTGTCGTCGAGGGTGAAACCGTCGTCTAGCTTGTCCGTGTAGGCGAAGTCAGCCTTTGCGATCAGCTTTGGATCCGCAGGGGCCTCTAGTGGTAGAGTCAACGCCTTCGTGGAGTAGGCATGAATATCGAGATGCCCGTTGGTTACTTGTTCGCCCGCTAGTCCTGAGACCTGAAGGAACCAAGCGCGTAAGTCAAAGAATATGGAACCAAGGACGACTTTTGTATTAGTCCCGCGTGCAGCATCGCCTATCGTCTTCACCAAGTCTACACCTGCCTCGTTCCGCAAAGAGGCACCATCGAGTGCAATAACAATATAGTCATAGTTCGATCCAAGTATCAGTGACGGGTTCGTAATGTAACTGTAACGCTTATACTCCTTCAACTTGTTATCATCGTAGCAATAGAGTATCTGAGGATTATCCAACGCCTTGGCGCGATGTGGGCGGATGAGGAATGTCACGTCGGTTCCAGCAAGACTAAGGTGATAACCGGTGAGAATCCCCATGGACCCAGCGCCGATAATCAGAATTCTGGGTTTTCGATCCTCGGGCATTTTGATTATGCAGAACTTCGGGTAATCAATATTTTGAGTAGAAAAGATTCAGGGTGGCTTAGTGCTGATGCTGTCTGCTCGGTGATAGAGAATAGAGTCTCGAATTTAACGATCAGGTCTTATATACCAATATTATATGCGATCAATGCTTACATATCAATATCTTTTAGTATGTTGCCTCGGCGACTTTTTTTATCATGTACTCGGAATACTTACCCAAACAAGTATCAGTCGGGACTGGATTAGCCCATATATGATAATGAGTCATGGAGGGACCATCATACGAAATTAATCCATGTGCGGATCTATTTATGACTCAGAATTTATCTACTGTAGGTATTTGAGTCTAAATTATGAACCGTGGCATTGTTTTAATATGTAGATAGTGTTCGCTATCTCAATGTAGAGGCTTGTATAACTACAAGAAACCGTTCAAATAGGCGGCGTGCTTATGATATCTACTAGTATTCTGCATAGGTGAATTTCTAATGGTTCTATCGGTCAAGTGGTAACTAGTCCCAAATAAAGGTGAGACCTTGGATGATATGGTCGTTCGATATTTGGCCATTCGGCCAGCCTCTGCAGTATCAATCCAGTCTCGGCTAGAATTTGGTTCGTGTTACATGTCTACACTAGGATCTACAATAGACACTTACCGGGGTTATATCAACCAGGTCAAATACGGGACTATCCATGTGCTTGAGTGGAAATAGATGACGGTTGGACGGTAAAAGGCGAGCAAGCGGGATATGTAGAAGGACTACGGGCTTCTACGGAAATGACTTTTTGGGTAGACTTTATATATAAGATATCACTATAGATGATGGTTTTTATATGACAAAACTATAATGATCTTGCCCGTCGTAAAATAGGCTTCCCCTTTGAAAGCCTCTTCGTAACTCCGTTACTAAAATAAATTGGGCATGACTGCTTAACAATATTTACCTCACCTTAATGAGCATTAATTCGGTTATGATGTAATCGTACACTTGACCTTGAGGTGTATATGATGTTATCCGCTTACGTCGGCGCAAAGATCTCTAAGTCATGTACTCTAAAAAGGGGTAGAAAGGGGTTCTACCTACCTGACGAAAGGTGCCTTATATTAATATGAGATAAAAGGGCATATAACTCTGGTCTCATATTTAGTACCTAATATAGTGTTTAATGCGTTATAGTATTAGTATTGCCTTCAATAGGATGTGTTTTCGTTAGTAATAGGCGTATATAAATTTCATTAGATATCCCTTTCATAAGGCGATATGAGCGGTGTATATTATCATAAGCAGCGTAAATATGCTTACGGTCTCACGAGGAATAAGCATACAAGGGCCTACTAATACGCCTAAGCCATAGTGATGAAATATAAAATATAAATTCAGTTATGCCTTGTAATCCAAGCATAGACGTAATGTCTAATTAAGGTGCCTATGTAGTCTTAGTGTCGTCCTTATCCTCTTTAAATATACTTGATACGGATGGGCTATCATATCATATATCGTTCTCAGTTTGGTGTTCACTTGACAATGGTCCATTGGTAGCTTCATGCAAAATTATGGGTTGAGTTTCGAAGCTGTTTATAGGACCACGATCTTCCTCCAGCCGCTTACCATTCGCTTTTTCTTCTTGCGCACGGTAATCATAAGCGCTTCATATACATGAGATATAAGATCTTATGTACCCAGGTAAGTAGTTTCCGCTCACCTTTAGAAAGACTTTGTACTCCTCTGAACCGTTCGAAACATGGCTTCATCGATTATGAATCGTTAAAGCCTCGCGAAAGTGCTGGCAAAATTATTGGCAACTCCATTTTTACCTCTAGTTATACTCTGAAGACATAGTGAGCTTTTTCGTCCTCACTCTAATATCTGATTTTTTTAAACACTCCTAAGAATCCTGGAGATGGCCATGTCTATTTACCTATATACCTACAGAACTATCGAAATACACTGAGTTAATGCGCTGCATCGGCAAGATATCTCTAAGAGCCCCAAGCAGGGGTGCCCTGTTCAGTGCTTATCCGTAACTACATCAACCACTAAAACGAGTCATCTAGGAATCGGACCTGTAGAAGACGCCATGGGGTTGCAAAATGTCTCTATTGACCATTTTACCTATTTTATTCTTCAGGTACGTTAGGAAGTAATTTTCTTTTTCTTACCCCGCGTATCGACGTTATATTATATTGATACAAGTATAAACGTTTTATTATTCAAGTACAAACACATTTCTAAGGTTAACAAGCTTCTGATTTAGAAATATCATACTTGTACTTCTTCTTATACACGGTTCAAAGGTGATATCATCCGCATTCCGAAAGTATGGCACCTCTTAGCCAAGCAGAGAAAGATGCACTCGTCTCTAAGGTTTTAGGGGAGCTTTCAGGGACACCCTATGCTTGCTCTTCGCTAACGCACCTAACAAACGGAACTACCAACTTCGTATTTCGTGGGAAGTTAACCCATCCCATCCGTGCAGATGGCGGGGACCAAAGTACCACCACGACCGTTATCATCAAACACTCGACGGAATTTGCCGCCGTCAACAAGGACTTTCCCCTAGATCCGTCACGTGCTGTATATGTTTCTCGTCCCTATATGAAGTGCCTATGAATAAGAAGATAATAATTAATAAATGATTAACCCCCTGTTATCTAGTTTTACGAAGAGTCTATGCTTCATGCTCTAAGCAACTTCCCATCTAGCACGACGGTCGTCAAGGCACCACGGCTCCACCTCTTCATCCGCGATGCAAATGTCCAGGTATTGGAGGATTTCCCTGCAGCGGTTGATTTAAAGAATATATTGGTGTCACCAACTGCGAACAGCATCCTCACGGCGCCGGTAGCAATGTCCATCGGTTACGACGTGGGATCCTGGTTGCGTTTATTCCATACATGGACCTCTTCCTCGAACGCTGAGTTGAAGGCCATCGGCGATAATGAACCCATGCGGAAGTTAAAATACGCCATTACATATGATAGCTTTCTAAAGGTACTTGAAAATAACTTTCCCGATCTTCTAGAAGGACACCGTTCGACTCTAGAACAAGTCAAAGATACTGCGACAAACGAGTTTCAAAAGACGTCTAGAGATGGAGATGGGGGCGAGGGTGAGCACTGGGGACTCATACATGGTGACTTCTGGACGGGGAAGTATGTAATTGCTTCTTTTTTGCTTCCAGTTCCCAGCATGGCGAATACCTAAGTAAGACTAACATAGCCAGTGTCCTACTCCCGGGCAATCCGTCGCTGAGCGCTGAACATACAAGTGGCGCCAAACTCTTCATCGTCGATTGGGAATTTGCCCAGTTCGGCCATCGCGCATATGATATAGGGCAGATGGTCGGTGATATCTACGAGCGGAAACATTTCTTCCAAACCGACGGTGCCGTGCCTGCGATTGAGGGGTTCATCCAAGGGTACGGAGGGCTAGAGGACGAGCTCGCCTTCCGCACTGCCATCCACGCGGGAGTTCAACTGATCGGCTGGTATACCAGACGAGCTCCAACTGCTCCTCTACAGTTCCCCTTAGAGAAGGTTACCGATGCGATGAGGATTGGGAGGGATTGGATTCTGAAGGCGTGGCAGAAGGACCGAGATTATTTCCAGAGCAGTCCCTTGGCGTCTTTGTTCAAGAGATGAGTAGCGTGAGCTTGGTTCAAGGCGCTTTGAACGTGATAGCGTATGGGGCTAAGTATTACACTGAGACTTTATCGACGTTTTATTCAACTGCCAGCCATCACATACACATGCTTCATATTTATGTCTCACTCCCCCTGCCTCATCTTGACCATGGCTTTGGTCATTTACTCTCCCGCGACCCGTTAGGCACGCCTTTAGCTAATATTGATACCGAGGTACGGCTAGATTTACCCTATCACAACTCTAACACTATGGCTTCAGGACAGGAACCTCGTGAATACCAGGCTGACCAGCCCCTAGAATCTTAGCTTCCCCTTACATCCTATGTGTTGTCAGACTTATAGCACATATTTTTTGAAACCGCAGACCGATCCGTCGCTATCCCGTCTCTCCACCCCACCGGACAGCACAACTCCGTCTGTTCCCTGTGCTAATGTCGAAATGGATCTCACTACCTTTCCATAATCTCCCAGGAACTGATGGGCGCGGACATCGTCTCCACGTACCACTCCGTGACCGAGCGCTACCACCCAAATGCCTCCAATGTCCAAGGCATGGGCTGCGGCGTCGCAGTCCGGCTGCAAGAGTACAGAGTAAATGGCTCCGGAGTAAATGACGACCTGGGCGTGTTCTAACCCAAGCAAGAAATTCGCGGGGAACATCCATTCAGCGGTCAAATTATCTATCCGGATCGGGTGCCAAGGCGTGATGACAAGGTCGGCAATTCTGCACATGGCGGTCCTATAGACGAACGTCTTCACTACAGCTGCAACGCGTCTGCTTCCAACGGGCGTGCGTACATGTGAGCCTTTACGTAGGCTACGAACGGGTACCTTTCGACCGCTAGCCAGCGTAACTTTGCTCGAACCTGTGAAGCAAGGTGCGGAACTCGAGTTGAGCCGTGACATATCCAGGTGTCCAGTGGTGGCAACCCTGGGACAGGACTGTGTTGGCGGTGGTATGGTATCGAAGGCTTTATCAAGAGCATCCCTACATTTAGTGAAGAACGAGTTCTGGTTATACATCAAGGGGCCGGGATCCTTAAAGGAGTTGCACCTAGATGACAGGGTTATCATACATTGTGAGAAGGTAACAAAAGTCTTCCCTTTTTTATATAACTTCAAGTAAGGGGTACTTACAGCTGCTTCGCGTGCGCATTCCACAGACTAAAGAAGTAGTGGCATCCCCATCGACTGAAATATTCTTGGCTGGATAGAGCTAAATTTACTTGACCGGATGGGAGGTTACCCACGAGATCTGCCATTAGAGATCTGTTGTATTCGTCGTCAAAGAGTCTGGCAGGGATGTTATCTAACAGCCGTTGGAACACTATCTGGTGGCGCTGTGGATTGATCTCCTTGCGAGTCTCGTATTCGCCATCACTCTGAAGTGGGAATAAGGATGAAAGGAATTCGCATATCATTGATCGGCTTTGGTGGTACGCAATTTGAGGCGAGGAGAGGACGTGTGAGTTACTCGTAGCGCCGTAGGCTAGGACACAGAATTCTGCGACTCTCATCCGCGAGTATCTAAGCTCTCCTGTGATATTAGCTTCTTTCACGGAGGAGCCGAACTTGGTCCTGCAACCCTGGCTGTCGACGCTCTCTAGATATATATCTCGAGACTGGCCGTATTGTAAGTTTCCTAGCTTTATGACAAGTCTATTGAAGTCTGCTTCCTCTTGCTCCTGTCTGTCAATGACTTGGCCCGCTGTCGTTCTCAAGCGAGTGCCTTTAGGGCTGGTGAGTTCAAGCGTACATCCCGTTGCGTACGTCGTCTGAAGATGAGCGACTGCATGGACGAAAACGGTCCCCTATGCATTGTTAGCTAGTGTTGAGTAAGTGAACCAAATATTCATACTATCATGCCGGCGTCAGGAATGAAAGAATAGTTGCCGCCACCAATCTCTCCAATAGACTTCAGAAGTCCCGACCTTATCTCGTAACCAAACCCGAATGTATGAAGAGTTGCCGGGAGAGCTTCCCAGGTACTGCGTATCTTATGGACGTAACCTTGGCCGGGACACCTGTGAACAAGATAAGTACCTAAGAATTAATACAGCGGAGGGGGTATCTTAGAAGTACATGTAATTCGGCAACCCATCTGTCAATATCATGACTGCGGGCACACGCCCTGTATTCTGCTCTCCGTCAAATAGATTGACTCCTTCCCGGATTCCGTGCCAGAGATTTGTTACACTATCAGCCCTCATTGCCTCGATGTTCTTGTGCGTTAACTTTTTATTCTTAGGCGTCATCGACAACAGTTTCTGGACCACCTATTCTCGACCCAAGCTCGATTAGTAGAGAGACACACACCCCTTAGTATGTAAGGAACCTACCCGTGCTTCTCTGCTGAACGTCACAATACCAAGTCTGTCGTTCTCATCCAGCGTGCTCAGGATCGTACGTGCGGCATGCTTTACCATGTCAAGGATTGACAAGCCAAAATGCTCAGAACTTGGCTGCCCGTCGTCTCCAACCATCTTTGCAGGAGCCGGCGCTTGCATACTCCCAGAAATATCTATGACTAGTACAATATCACAGGGGATATGTTGGAGTTTACTATCCATTGGCTTGTTCGGCGGCTGCACTCGAACTATCAAACCGTCGTGCGATGGTAAAGCATGTATTTCCAAAGCCGCATCCTCCGCCATCGAGGGAGTAGGTTGCGCGGAGTGCTCTAAGGAGTACTCTGAGGAATATTCACCCATCCCTGGTGTAAATTCTTGTCTGCGAACCTGAGAATGTTGTGAGAATGTGTTGCTGTCACTTGATATGGATATTTACCATGATGGGTGTAATGGCTTCGAGAGCTGGGGAGGTAGATCTTAAATCAGTCTGTACAGTCGAGCTATATTCCTAGAATCCAATACGGGCCAACTGGTTATAATAAAGGAGAGCTCGTTCTAGTAAATCTCGCTTTTATGGGCGTCGCAAAAACTCAGTTACATGCAGGAAGATGAATCACGACAAGAATAGTTCGTGAGTATGAGTTTATAACTACCTCTTTGTTTGTTTGTTTGCATCCACATAAAAGGCAACGCCGATGCGGCGATGAGGCAGTGAGGCAGCTAATATCATTGTAAAACTCCTTGACCTTCCTTACATGAGTAGCTCAGGGGGCTCTTTAGATTAGTTCAACTGCCAATTCTGGATGTGTCTCGTCTTCTTATTCGTCCATGGCCCATTGTTCAATTATCCAATGATGGACTCTGCCGGGGATGAACGAAGCTTTAACGTGGCTTATACCACGCTATATAACCTACTAGGTTAGTTAAGCAGAACAAATAACTAACTAAGCAAACAAACAAACAGACTTTGAGCGTGTATCATTATACCAGTTAGTTTTTAGATATTCCCTCGGTAGATACGATTGTCTTAAGAAAATAAACTATTTTAAACCATCTTTATCTGCAGTATAACTATCATATCATAACTATCAGAACTACAGTCTTTCTTTTCTCAAGAAGCAGGGGCCTCCGGCATGTTGCGAGCTGGGGGGTCTCAGCCGAGAATTGTGGATAATACTAAGAGGTTCGGCTTTAACGAAGTGGTCTAGCGTCGAACTGAATAGATTATTCTAGGTAGGCAGGTAGGTGAGGTGAATAGGAGACCGAATATTTAAGGAAGCAAACTATATATGTGAAACCATGAAAGAACTGTTGAGTTGTTCAATTTCCCGGATCTCTAACAAGCTAATTGGTGAGACTTTGAGACTAACAAGTTAAAGATGCCACTAACCTACTAAGTTTATGCTGTGCCACCTATGCTTAGAAGGATCTGGCATGGACCAGACAACCAGATCTCGAATGCCTGTCCATTGACCTCTTTTTACACTTGTCACCTCGCTAATCTTATATCAATACCGCTCGATTGGTAAATAAACATGAGAGGTAGTAACATATTTTAAGAATTCCGCCAAGAATGCTGCCAAAGTCTGTATCCACGAATTGTCGCTTAGATGGAATTGGTATGTACTGTATTGACGCGCAACTGTCTGTGCATCCTATGTATGTAAGACGAGATACAATTTCCTCGCCATTAATTACATTAGTAGACGATCGCGCGCCCCGGCGTAACGATGAGAGTCGTAGGCAAAGTCGGTAGTGTTATGTGCATGAGACGGGTATAAATATCCAAACCAACCAGCCTGATCATAACGACGAGTCACAGAGAAATACCTGGAGCGCCATTGCTTTTTATACACATCCGTCACCCATTACCATTACCAGCACCATCGCCAGGACGCCAAGCCAAACCAAACCAATTAAGTATGTCGTAATCTTTGTGAGACAGAATATCCCTCTATGCGCAATGATACTTTCTTGACCCGTTGCCTGAAGATGAGTTCCGGCCAGAACTTCTACAGAAGGGACGAAACTACATCTTGTTTAGCAACGTCTATCTCAACAGGTAGCGACGAGTAGCCTCACCTCTATCATAGCCGCTAGGGACTGGCAGAATTCAATGGCAGTCAATGGCAGTCAATGGCAGTCTGAGCATTCCTTGTGCTTGCACCAGGTACAATCCGTGTTAATGACAAAGATGCCGCCGCATTTGCAACAGTGAGCCGCATACATGGTGGATATGTTTTGTATTGCTCAATGTGAGGTCCTCGTTTGTTGTTGTTGACAGGAGTGTGATATATACAATAGCAACTGTCGCTTCTGATGCCTAGTTTCTTCTAAGAACCTGCGAGAAAGGAATATTGTTGGAAGAAGTGTGTACGAGATATTCGGGTTCTTCTGCTACGGGACGCCGGACTGATATACACGCCGCAAGGGCGAGCTTCCCCGTCACAGTGGGAGAAATATCGCAAACCCTCAATTTCATGAAGCAGGCATATTCCGTCTACAGGGTCCAGAAGACATGACGACCTGCGCGAGTCACACTAGGGAAAGCTACCCCGCATGGGATTACAGTTCGCGGAAACGAATCATAGCTTGCGGGTGAGATGCAGTAGGACCTAAGAGGAAAGGCTGAAGGTTGGGGGCTGATCGTGAAGGATCAACTGCGAGCGTGACCGGCGATTTCGCAGCCCTTCGCAGCCCGTCGCAGCCCTTCGCAGCCCGTCGCAGCTCGTCGCACCCCGTCGCACCCCACGTTTCTTTTTTTCCCCTTCCCCGGCGCCAGAATTCCTACTGGTGCATTCCATTCCCTTAGACTATCGTTAGACTATCGCAACACCTAATCGCAAGGGATGAACTACCCGTATTGCTCAGAACGCCGCACACTGGTGGCGATGGTGGTGACGACCGCCCAATCATTGCCACGGCCTCTCATTGGCTATGATGAATGCGGGAAAATTCGGGATTTTAAAAAGAGGCCATAACCACTTCTGGGCAAAGGGAACGTCGTGCGGCCTGTACCGGATGATATTCTGCGTAAATCGAAAAACATACGGCAAACGTGCGACCCAGAGCTATCAGAATCTTGCAGCCGTATGGAAAAAGCCAAAACTCTGTCCGAGTCAATGTTCGTCATAGGACTAAAATACATATTCCGTAGTAGGCCGTCGACTTTGCTGTCCTGCGCCCTCTTGGCCTTCTTTCGATCTCGATCTGTTGCTCGGCCAATCTCGTGATCCTCATTGTTGTGGAATTGCAATTCTGAGGGATGACGTTTTGGCCTTCGTGGAGAGACATGAGCTGTGCACATCGCCGCAGATCTGTTCGTTCATGACCTACGTATGTGCTCTGCCCCGGTAAACGAATCAATCACCAGTCATATTAGCGTAGCATTTATATTTGATGGACTTTTTGTCGGTATTTAATATTACGTTCTTATGTATTTGCATAATGCTGCAACGACCGGGGAAGTACGTTGATCAAGCATTCGTTTGCATTGCGTAGCGCTCTCGTTTGACGTGGTAATCTTGGGCTGGCACGTAAAGTTGCTTTGTCTCTTATTAGCTGTCCTACCATACATAAACCGTTGGTCGCGTGGGATGACTAGGTATGTATGTGGTATGTATGTCGTTGGATTGGTTCGAAGCTAACATGTCTTGTTAGGAAAATGGTATAAGTGAGAGCTGCGCGGTAGCACACCTCTTGAGACTTCTTCAATTATTCCTTGGTAACAAAGAACTAAGCATCGAAAAATCCGAGGAACTACTTGTGTATTATGATTACATGACGACCAAGGGAGTTGATATTAAGGTACTGTATCACGATGTCATTCATCTATGAGGTTATACCAAACTCCTAATCGGGCCAGGAATATTCATCCTCTTAGGCCATAGATATCTGAACAATATGTCCCTTGTTCATTTAAAAATCCTTCGAGTTCCGTGAGGTCCTTTCCTGTGGCACATGCCATGACATACCTATTGTAATCATACTCTGTCCGGCTTGTTTACCTTCGGTACGTAGGAGTACAGGGGAGGGGCCTGTTTTGTCGAGGAAGGATTCTTCAGCGGAGTAAAAGAGGTCCTCTTCAAAAGTAAGATCGCATGATATGAAGCAAACAACCCGAGTATCTATACCTTTTATTGGAGTCGGTTATGGTAATAGCGATACTACCATATTCAACTCGGGATTTAAATGCTTTAGCACTATTTAAAGATGTAACTAGGTGAAATTTACCTCGCATATGCACATATCATATGTGGTTCGCGTGTATGTAGAGCCGCTTCTGTGCCGATATGATAGATGCGTGTTTGCAGGTATTGTCTCTACTTTTCGCGTTTGCCCGTCGACTGATCAATCACGTTGTTTATAATCCTAATGGCATCGTTTCTTTAGTATTAGTATGTTTGGTCGTTGGTTTACATACTTGACCGAACAGAATTTTTTTTCTAATTGTTCACCGATGCTTGGTGATGTTTGCACACTGCCTATGATTATTTCTTACACTTTGTACATAGTTGGATCTACATGTCAGAATAGGAGAGGTACCTAACCCACCTAGGTACCTAAGGTAGCCAGCCCTAGGCGAAATGGATCGGGATGGATGCCGAAGCAAGTCATAAAGTTGATCCACGTAGTTGGAACTCGAGATGCCATAATATTACCGCGGAGGTACCTACCGTGATCTTATCCTTTTTGTCCTTCTTTCCTTTTTCTTCTTTTAAGAAAAATAAAACAAATGAGACGAGGTGTCAGGTTGCCTGTGATACTTTGGTAGGTCATATGTTAGAAAGGGGAGGTTTTCGCCTAAGCTATAAGTCTTATATTCCTACGTAGGGTACTTGCTAGGTACTTAGGTCTAGGTAAGTAATGTACGGTAAGAAGTGTCGATTAGGAATTATAAACAGGGTATAAACACATATAAATTGTTACAATGTATCGAATATCTTCTCTGTAAATCTAGAGGCCGTAACATGCAATATCATATACTAAAATGAGATATGATAGGTACACCAGATGGGCATTTTGGATCCATGTTTCCACTATATCTGTTGTAAGGTATTCACCTCGTACTGTTACACTCGCTATTCTCCCTTTTAAAACATTCTCTTAAACAAATGAGGATTTTTGTTAAAACATCGACGGCATATGGTTTACTTTGATCATCGCAAATACTGGCCTATCGACAATACTGTAGGCATTAGGCCGATATGAGGAGAAAATAAAGAAAATAAAAAATAAAAGAAGCTTTACCTAGGTAGATTGAAAACGGCAGTGCGGATGCTACCCACCATTTCAGGGGAATATGGTTCCAGGGGTTAGAACCCCAAGGCGGCTAAGCGCCAGGAACAGTAGTATGATTGGACCGCGGAAGCATTGGTCAGTTGGCGATAATACATAGTAGGACTTAGCGTACACCACTGTCACTCACCATGGGGGGCGTAGTTAGTTAGTGCGAGACTTCATAATATATACTGTGTTTCTATGTACCTCCTACGTTGCTGGTATTGAAGACCATAAGTTTAAGTACGTTTGAGCGAGAGGTCGAGACGCCCATTCCTATGAACCCCTGAATTTCAGGTCGAGTCTTCCTCCTCGCGCTTGTCATCAATCA